TCATAGATTGCGATTAGCACATCAGGTAGAAATTTTGATATACTACATGGTGCCACTCTAAATTCGTATGACAATGACTTCAAACTATTCCCAGTTGCTAGAAATCGCAGCGTAATTTGAAGTTTTATTTTTGGTGTCAATGCTGCTCGACATGTCGTATCCTGCTTAGTGATTTTGTCAGATACTTTATCCAATAAAAAGTTGAAGCAATCTTCACTCATTCGAAAATAGTTTGTATAGCTCTCAGGATCTTCATCTGCTAATTCGGAAATTAACTGTACTGCACCCAGATGTCTGCTTGCTACCCATCCTCTAACCCACCAACGCTTTTTCTTTCGAGCCATCCTCTTTTTCAGTTTACATATCAACATCTGTATGACAACATCTTGAACTGCAAAATACAGCTTCGATGCTGACGGCGCCATGATCACAGCGATACTGTCGATTTCACGACACTACGAAACTACTTGCACATGAAATGTTGGTGAAATTAATGTCATGACACTAGTTTCATACCACTAGTTTCGTAATGTAATTCCCGCTATAGGCGGCATTCACGGCGAGTAGGCGTGGAGTCGGCTATCCGATTAGTTAGAACGTAGTAAGAATTATGGCAGCTCTCACTTTACATAATACAGGTTCGGACTAGAATTGTAAAGGTACGTTTCCAATTCAACAAGTTTCAGGCACATGTGTCGGGCGTATGTTGCCCAGTATGTGTCTGTAACTTGTTGGATTGAAAAAATACCTGACCAGACACCGAAGCACTTCTATGGGAGACGATGTAGACGATCTATAGGACTTTTTTTCTAAGTGGTCATACAAAAAAGTTGTACAGGGTGAATTTACAAAAATTGAACTGCATCTCTTTGCTTTCCTTCTGTGTGGCAATGACCAACAGTGTACGGCGTCGTTTCAGTACGGTATAGGCCTTGTCTTGGAGACAGACAGCGAAAAGCAAGCAAGCAGGTATGTGAAAATTATTCTTCTGTTATCCGCCATGCCTCAGGAAGCTCCAGCAATATCTTTACGGTGCAGTATTGCGAGCCCTTTTTACAGAATATCGCCCGCGCACATTCCTCTCGAGGAGACAACAACAATTGTTGGCAACGAAGGCGTTTCCGCTGTTGAAATCTTTATTTCGCACCAATTCCAGCATGTCGTTCCATTCTGTCCCAGAGTACTTCACTCCGCTAAAATGCACTCATTGCAGGGCCGTTCAATGCAGAGATGCGACTCGTTTTCTAGAAGCAGCTTCTCCTTTATCTAGAACGATTTCTTTTAATAGGCACATACGGACGTCGGGTATACCGGGTGTTTTAAATTCGACTCTCACCATTGGGATCTCGGAAACCAGTTGCGGATCTAGAAAATATTTTTTCGAGCGGTACATATGATGAAAGTACCCGCTCAAAAAAGTTTCATTCTATTCATGTTCAGGAAGATGCCTGTCTCGGGAGGGTTATCGGGGACTAAAGAGCGGGGGGAGGGAGGGAGTAGCGTGTGCTGCATGAGTGCTTCTTAGAATGAATGCCCTTGTGACAATAAAGAGCGGGGGAGGTCGTATAATTGAAAAAGATATTAGAATTCTTTTTTTGAACTAGGATATTTCTTCCGGGCCCCAACGACACGCTCCTTTTTTTGTTATACTCCAACTACCACGAAGGCCTGAGGCCTAAACACCCATTAGGTACCGTGGGGCTATAGGGGGATACAGGGGAAAGGGGGACGCCACACGGACTCTGGCAAGGGAACACGTGTACATGCAACATGCACACATTCTGGCTCCGCCTACGAGATCCGCCGAGTGGTACCTCCGCGTTCGACACTCAGAGACCGTCTACCACCTACGGACAATCACAACATACATAGCCAAGAGAAAGATTTCTCCTGAGACGGGATTCGAATTCGCACAGCGCACGGCGACTGATCCGGTGATCGAAGAGTCTACTACTGCTGCCACCGCTGCTGCCTCCTGGTTGGATTCGCCACTGTCGGAAACTGTATGAGATACAAAGTCGATTAAATAGGGGCAAAGCTGCGCAGATAGATAACTAACAAAGTGCGGCTTAGTAAGTTTGGAAATTCAAAGTACCGGAGAGAGACGAAAGAAAACGAATGTCCAAAATAGTTTTAATTTTTCTGACTTTACTTGTAGTAGGAAATAAATTGGACTTTTTCTGCTTTAAAAGATGGCACAATTATGATTTCAATATGACGTTTCGTCACCTGTCCTCTAGCATTAACTTCATCTTCTCTTACAGACGCCATATTGGATTTCTACACGGATAAAAATGTATAGTATGTCATACATCGACATTGCTGAACCTTAGTTATTTCAAAAGAACAGAACTAGGTACGCCTTAAAATTGTCGGATAGTCATTTGTTCGGTATACCAGATAAGACATCTAATTGAACATAGTAACAAAGTTTGGAAGACTAAGAAGAAATGAAATAAACCGTGCAATAAACAATGTACAAAGGAGATTAAGGACTTGCCATCAAAATAACGGACAAGGTTTTGAACATCTACTATGATTTATGACTATTTTTGCAATTGCCATCAATGAAATTTTCATTTCGTGTTCAGGTTTCACAATACCTCTTTTGTTACCTTATGAGTCTTGTTCCAGCAACGAATTAATGGCCAACTAAGGAAGTATGTCACTGAATTTAGGACTGTAAACTCTATGTAAATGTACAAAATTCCAATTCAGCATCCATATGAAAAAACGAAGTTGGTGATGGAAATCGAAGGAAGAAACTTTGAATTGAAAAGTGACTACTAGTCCATCTTATAGATGAAAAAAAGTGACAATGACAACATGTAATTCACCTTGAAATCCTATATCAGGAAACATAAAAAATGGTTTTGCGATAGATGTGGTATAGAGGATATGCGTATAATTCAGTCCGTCGAGGTAAAATGATTCCCCACCGAATGCGAGTGACTATTCACGATGTCTATGCAAACACGCAACAAACATCATCCCGCAACCCCACCAACTACCTTCTCGGAGTGTCATGTCGGTCTGAGTACTGGGCGTGGTTCTGTCAGGAAGTACAACTGTGCGTTTAGCCTATGGTAAGAATGTCTTTCGAAATTCATAATTTTCTGCATATGAAGATTTATTGTATTGTTGTTTTATTGATGGACTCAGTTAACGTTCAGCTATATTTAATCACATTTTATTTGAAGGTTATATTTTTATCGATGACTTGAAATTTTGTATGTGATTCCACCTCATGCGTCAGTTTCGAAGGGCGTAAGCAAACTCTACAAATCGGATTTTGCAGGAATTTGGTCTACTGTTCCGTACTGCCAGCCCAAGCGACGCAGCGGTACATACGGACTTAGAAAGGACGTATTTAGATAATTTGGTGGCCCTATTTCATACGATATCGTGTATATAAGTCATTCTTCAAATAGGTGTTCATAATCGCGATCGCTGGTGCGAAGTGAATGTAACGTAAATGTAACTTCTGAACTTACGGCCCGGTTGTTTCTCTGACCTATCTATCTTACACTGGCCAATAAATGAAACCTAAGATGGTGAATATCCTGATTTCCTGACGCTTAGGCTGCTTTGGTAAATAAAAGGTTTTTTCTTCTCCATCTTAAAGCCGTTTTACTTGGCACGCCAGTGGCGCGAAACATTCCGAAAATGAGATGTTATGTTTTTTAGGTCTTATATGACATCTACATCACAAAAAGCTAACATACGAGGGGGTACCCAACAAAACGGAATTATTTTTTAAACGCTATTTATTCTTTTTCACAAAGTAACCTCATCTCCTTTAAAATACTGTCCACTTTTTGAAGTCTTCCTTAGAAATGTCTGACAATTCTTCCCTCGTTTTTCTCGTGACCTCTTCAATGTCGTCAAAGCGGCGTCCTTTTATGCCACTTTCATCCGTAGAAATAAGAAAAAGTCGCACGAAGCCAGGTCAGGCGAATAAGGTGCGTGAGGCAGCGAAACCATGCCACTTTTAGTCAGAAACTGTCGAACAAAGATGGCTGCCTGGGCAGGTGCATTATCGTGGTGGAAGAACCAGTCTCCTGACTGCCACAAATCACGTCTTTTTTGTTTCGCAATAGTCTTAAAACCTCCAAATAAAAGGTCTGATTGACAGTCTGACTTGGGGGAACAAACTCGGAGTGGACTACGTATTTGACATCAAAAAAACAAATCAACATTGGTTTGATGCTTGATTTGATTTGACGACATTTTTTTGGACGTAGTGACGATGGCGTCTTGACTGTTGCTTCGTTTCTGGGTCATAAGCGTACCACCAAGTCTCATCACCAGTGATAACCTGGGACATAAAATTTGGATTAGATTCAAGCTATTGTTTCAAAGCACGACATGTTTCAACTCGGTGTTCTTTTTGATTGTCAGTCAGAGCCCGAAGAACAAATCTGGCAGCAACCCTTTTTATTCCCAAATCTCCTGTTAAAATTTGCTGAACCGAACTCCAGGACAACCCGTTATTTACGGATAGTTGATCGATTGTCAGTAAACAGTCTGCAAGCACAAGCTCTCGAATTTTTTCAACATTTTCGTCGATTCGGGCAGTTAATGGACATGCAGAGCGAAATCGAGCAAACCACTCGTACACCTGAGTTCTTCACATAGCTGCACGTTGCTCACTGAGGCTTGCTATCGTAAAAAATGAAAGAAGCACGAAACAGCTCTAGAAAACATAATGACTACAGAGGAACGAAACAAGCCAGATCGACAACTCAGGTGGCACTGAACTGGTAATGAGTTGCGCTGTACGAGGGATGTCTTTTAAGTTTTGCATATGGAAATAAAACAACATGGTAAGTAGTTTTAAATGACTTTATTGTTTCTCGAAGTATTCTCCACGAATATTAATACACATCTGCATGTGCTCGAACCAATTTTCGAAGCACAATTGCACTCGTTTGCTGACAGATCCAAAACGGCATTTTTGAATGCGTCAACTGCTTCTTCTGGAGCCTTTGACCACGCAGTCTGTTTTTAATTTTCGGGAAAGTAAATAAATCGTTAGGACTTAGAAAGGTACTATATGGAGGATGGTTCAATAATTCCACGTTTTCTTCCTTTAAATACTGCCTTATTTTTGGGTTGTGTGCGAGCTTGCTTTTTCTTGGTGGAGGATGATTCTTCTTTCGGGGTTGATTTTTCGAAGCTCGGTGATGACTTTTGGCAAACAAATGGTGGTATACTAATCCGCAGTAACAGTTATTTGCTCATTAAGAGGAATTGTTGCCATATGACCCGCTTTTGACACAAATGTCGCGACCATCTTTTTCGTAACACTTCGAGAACGGATGGCTTTTCTTCACCTTGGAGCACCCAAACAGCCGACTGTCGTTTATTTTCTGGTTCATAACCGTAAATCCACGATTCATCAGCACTAACCATGCTGTACACATTTTTTGAGTTTCCGGAATTGAAACGGTCAAGCGTTTTTTCACACCAATTAACCCCGGCTGCTTTCTGCTCTTCAGTCAACAGGTGGGGTATCCAACGAGAATCTAATTTTCTTACTCCTAATTCTTCATGTACATTTTTTTGAATGGAGGTCTTTGTGATCTTCCAGGACGCATCAATCTCGCGATATGTCACATGTCTATCTTCAATGATGAGTTTGCGCACAGCATCGACGTTTTCCTGGGTGACTGCCATTTTTGGTGCACCCACCCTGGGATCGTCGCTAAGACTCACCCGTCCACATTTGCATTCTCCATACCAACGGGAAATTGTCAACTGATGTGGCCCTCCGTTGCCGAAAACAGACAGTAACTCAGCAAGGTATTGTTGTTGCGATAATTGTCTCTGAAGGTTGTAATAAATTATGGCGCGAAAAGGTTCTCGGTTGAGTTCCATTTTTCTAATGAGGTGACACTTAAAAATTCACTGCACGTATTGTTGTGAAACTTCGAATTTAAGTTTACTAAAGAGTGAGATTAAGATTCAGTACTGACGTTCGATCCGCGTGGCCTACTATGATTCCATATGAAAAACTTAAAAGACATCCCTCGTACGCCTCTAGGGGCAGAAATGTGTACTTCATAAACTCCGCCCACTACAATGCTATTCCGGTTATTTTTGGGTACCTCGTCATATATCACTTATTTCCGTCTGCCTGTCTGCTAACCCTTTGCCTGCCTATAACTTGGAAAATGCCTCGGATTTTTATGAAATTTCCACACAAGGTTACTACTATGTCAAAGCTTTGTAGTTTCACTCCATTGGCGGCGGCGCTATAAAATAACAATCGCTGAAACTTCTTTTTTTGGCGTTTTCGGGGTTCCTATTCATTGTCATAAAAAAATTGTAGTGCTCAAAAACTGGGGGTTAGGGGAAGGTGATATTAAATGTTTCATCTGAGATATGTGAAACACCTTCTATTGTTAAAAAGCTTCTGATCGCAAGAATTACAGTTAATTTAAGAGATGCGAACCCGACAAATAATGTGCTCACGATTTGAAAAATCTGTACCTGCGTAATACAGTACATACATTTGACACCGAGAGTCAACAGATCTGCAACTGCCGACAGTAGGGAAGAACAAGTTCGGATATTTATAATTGGGGTTATTATGGTTAGATCAGCAATCGAAATCCGACTCTGTTATTATGGAAATTTAACCAGGTAGGCGTCCGCAGTCATCCTGGCCTTTTTTTAAAGTAGCGCCGACGACCGTCTAAGCCTCTACGCCTTATAAAACAGCAAGTAAAGAGATATGTGTTTGCCTTTCTAATAGTTTCTAGAATGGGAATTTTTTTTCAATTTGTTTGGTTAATTACGATTTATCAATTTTACAAAGCTTAAAACGTCTGTTACTATTATATAATGTTTAATTTTGTTGATCTACTAGTACCAAGTTAAAAAAAAATGTGACTGTCTTAAACCTACACCAAAGTGGGGTTCTTCCCAAAATAACTATCTGATAATTTCAAGGCCTATCTAAGAAATTTTGTTTTTTTTAATAGCTCACGTTTGACAACGTCAATTTATGACATGTACACTTATGCAATCAGGATTAAAAACCCTATTCATATGTGCAAAAATCCAATATGGCGTCTATAAGAAAAAATAAACTTGATGATGATGGATCGTCGTATTGAAATTCTAATTATGCCATCTTGTAAAGGAGAAAAAGTGGCAAGTGGCTGTGTTATTGTGCTATTTTGAAGTCTCTCTGCAAATAAAGTTAGAAAAATTAAAGCGGTCTTAGGAAACTTCTGGTTTTTCGTCTTTCTCCGGAAATACTTTCAATTTCGAAACTTTCTAAGCGTCATTTTGTTGGTTACCTAAATATGCAACTTCTTATATCTTACTGTTTCTGAGAGCCCAATGCTGAGGGTCGAATTTGAAAAAAGTTCAAAGCTCTAAAAAACGCAAGATAAGCTAACAGAGATAAACTGAAGACATGTTCTCCTTGATTTTTCAGGAGCCTTCAACTGACATAGTTGTTATATGCTCGACATTACATGACTTAGATTAGTATCAAAAGAAAACTTTCAGTTTGATATTAAAATGCTCAAATCGTCCACCTCAATGGGGTATTTTCCAACTTGGTGATATTGTCCTATTGATGGCTGAAATCGATTGTTTACACCATTTATCAATTGGTATACACTTTGCACGCGCTTTTTTCACTCATTTGCTGAAAAAAATACATTTGAAATTCATACCACCAAAGTGGGTTCATTTAAACTTCATGTTTGTCCCTCCGAAAAAATCAGCCAATAGGAATCGATTTTTTTAAAGGTTCTCATTAGAATGTGGCGATATTTTTATCAAGGATAAGCATCAGTGCTATTGCCATGCACTAGGGAATTTCATGAAGTTTACGACTTAGCAACCCTTCTTTATTCCGATCAACAGTGTTGACTCAATGGTGTACCTGTCTATATTATGTATGTATAGCTGTAGGTCGACATAACTTGGCAACATTGTGGTTCACGAGGGTCAAACCGTTGACTTTTGACAGTGACAGAGTTCCGTACCGTGTTTCGTACTGTTAATTTTGTGTTATCCGTTTTGTAACCTATATATATTGAATTCTTTTGATCATTACAATACAAAAAAATGTCTGTAAAAAAAGTGTCTTATTAAGGTGTGTTCAAACACAAGTATCAATTTACCTGATAAAATATTCTTATCAGATCCGATAGACCTTGACACTAGGATTCTTTGGTACCATGCTGCAAGTATTGAATTCCTACAACTATGTTATACTGTTGTGATGTAAGTTTATTAACAGAGCTAAAGTTTTTCAAATTGTATTAAATCACGGTTTATTTTCAGTTAGCAAATGATGCAGAAAACTGGCAATATTACAAGACAATTGGGCAGAGGTTACGACTGAAACCCGGCGTGAAACCACACAGGAACCTGTCAGTTCAGAGTTTAGGTACGTCACAATTGAGTCCACCATGAAAAAAGAGGAAAGCTGAGATGTTAGAAATATTAGAAAAAAAAGCTTCCCTGCAAGAGAAAACCAAGGGCAAAATTATTTGATGAATCGCAGCCAGGTACAAGCAGAGATCTGCATCATGATGAATCTTGCCAGCAAAACTCGAGTATGCTACCCCTGAAGAAAGCAACCAAAGGAGTCCAAGTTATCGTTGATACTAGTCATCTCAAACTAAAACAATTGGTTGAAAAGTGCACAGGGATTTGTAGTGATAGCACTAATGGCTCAAGTGGTAGTTCCTTCCTGCAGCTATTAAGCACTTCATCAGGAAGCAATGGAGCAAGACTGAAGACATCAAAAGAGGAACTAGAAATATCTAAATTAGAGAACAATAGTCGGTTTTTCTTAGGTTTGCCTGAACACTGTTTCTATATTGTAAATTTATTAGTTGAAGGTGGACTGGATTACATTGATGTCTTGATCACAATGACAAAAATTAGGACAAGCGATCAGTTTTCAAGAATAGGAATTGATTTTGGTAAAAGCACAAGTGCAATTTCTAAAATTTTTAAAACTGTTGTAGTAATGGCTCCTTTAATGATACAGTTGATTGTTTGGCCTCCCAGTTGGAAAATCAAAAAATTAGTACCAAATCAATTTAAAGTCTATTACAACAATGTACAATCAATTATTGATTGCTTTGAAGTTGAAATCGAAAAACCTTCAAATGCACTGCATCAGGCTAAAACATGGAGTGAATATAGAAAGTGTAATACTATAAAGTATCTTGTGAGTTGTACTCCTAATGGGCCGATAAACATTATTTCTAGTGGGTTTGGAGGATGTACAAATTGTTGAGAAATCAGACTTTATTAATGTGATTCCAGAAAACTGCATAATAATGGCAGATAGAGGTTTCAAACAATTATTTTGTAAAACACCAATTTTTCCTTTTGTAGGTTAAAATACTTGTATAGGACTTATTTGAGGCTGTTCTTTACATAATATAATTTTTTGGAGTATCTATAATTTTTTATTCTCCTTACGACACATTATGATTTAGCAACCTCAAAATAAATAAATTACTCGAATTTACCAACCCTCTATGACATAAAAATAACTAATTATTTAGTAAAGTGTATACCTTGTGTATTAAATTTTTGAAAAGCCTATTAGATCAATAATGTTATGGAATTCAAGATTATTTTAACTGGTCAGCTGGTGGTATATATCAATATTTTTGTTCATGTACAAATACATTAAAACATTTGCAGCTACCTACTAATGTAAATAGTTAAAAAAACATTTCATGAAGAAAATACTTTTTTAAAACATAAGTGCTTTATTCAATCAAATAAACACATAAAATAAATTGGACAAGAATATATGCATAATATAGACTAAATAAATTTGCATAATGTATCACAGTTTGCAAATATTAATCATACATTTTCTGATGACACCTGAATAGAATAAACTAGCAGCTAAACCTGGTGTTGCCTGGGTCAAAATACATTTTTCTATCTTATATATGTGCCCAAATCTTGGTACCATTAAGTGTATGTTGTAGTGTATACATTGTTAACTGATTAATTCAGTTACTAAATCAGTTTATTATAAATCAAATTTGAAGATAATAAAAATTTAAAAGTAGGTATTGAAAATATTAGTATAAAAAACTTCGATACATTTATATAAAATCTAATACATGAAAGTTTATACCACATATTATATTTCAATACACACATACAACTGAGTTGTATTTTAGTCAAATCTATAGGTAAATTGTTGACATTACAAGTTGAGTACATTACAGTAGATCTATTGAATCAGTTTTGGGAAGGTAGCTTTTTCCCAAAACAAACTTGCTTTTTGCAGCAAATCCTTACAAAAAGAAATGTCAAGTTCAACTTCCACAATTGATACATCTTTATTCACTTCAAAATTTGGTGATGCAACACAAAATAATCCCTTCTTTCTGCCCAACAATAGCATTTGCAGTTGAATTTGGGCAAAAGGTTTCTTACCTATGACTCCATCATGTAAGTATTGCTTAAGTGTCGATTCTTTTGATGGGCACTTTATTTCAATACAAAACTCAACATTTACAGCATCAGGGTTAGCTCCAAATATAGGATATCTCTTATCTACAAATATTCCTACTTTTTCTACTTTTATTAGTTTCTTTCTTGCCAACCTTCAATACTTCATCCTCTAATGATAATCCCCTCTTCATAGCCTTTGTGGACTTGAATTTTGCAGCAGCCAAAATAGACTCTGACTCTACTAAACATCCATCATATGTTGTACTCTGTGCTGCTTCATAAAACTTCGATGCAGTAATACCTGCATACCTTATCTCAAACCATGTACCAGTATTGGATTGATCTTTCGTTTGATTTAAAATTTCTTTACAACGCTGATCATTCATTTCTTGCTGACAATACTGAATAAAATTTTCAGCAGTGATGCTGCTACTGTTTCTTACAAATTTATTTATTAAATGATATAGGGATACTTCATCAATAGCATTCTCTTCAGTTTTGTAGTATTGAAATAAAATGCTGTTGCTTTTGTTTTCTAATCCTTTTTCTAGTAGTTTTTTTAAGAAAGAATTATCGTGTGATGCAACTGGGGGAATATTCTTAAATAGCTCTTTCAATTTTGCTGCTTTCAATGAAGAACCTACTTTTGCTAAAATCTGTTTTCGCCAGTAGCACTCAACACTTGTTACAGAAGGTTCTGTAGAAGGCCGTAGTAGCCAAATTATCAGAGCTACACCATGCTTGCACCCTCCTAGAAATTAAAATATAGTATATTATAAAGACACGAGGAATTATTAAACTCGATACCTTCACCAGCTGGGTAGCTATGACACACACTATGTGTAATCTTCTCTTCAGCCTCATTAATGCAAATTGTCACCTGATATCCTTTTTCGTGGATCTTGTATTCTGCAGTTACATGGCACTTTACAGTACATACTGATCCCTCTCGCATCTGCTGGACAAATCCGATAGCTTGATCCCCATACGACTGCTTGCCACTTCTAAGAACAATATGGTTATTAAAATATGTTTCCTAACAATCGAAAAAGTACCCACCTTTGTGTTTTCACATTTCTCACATTTGCTTTGACAAAGTCTGCATTGTGTCGATAGTATTCATCGATCATCTCGTAAGCTACTTTCGGTAAATTCGAAGAATCTGCTTTCACGAAGTTTTGTTCCATATGTTAATTGTGTATTTAAAAAGCTAAATTCCAAATCAGTCACTAGCACAAGATAAATCATAATACCAAATCGTCAACAACATAGCCAGAATGCATCATAACCTTTAAATTATCTGTCAAAAAAGTCTGTAGAACAAAATGGGAATATCTCCTGTCCTTGTCACACTGTAATCGCCTAACAAATGTAGAGTCACATTCTAAGAAGGGGGCGGAGAAAATATTACTACGTCACGCGAGATATTATTACGTCACACAGTTGGCGGCAAATTTTATTTTTAAACTTTGAAGCCGAGTTTTTATTACTTCTTGTTCAAAGAAAAATGTAAAATTACTCAATATATAGTTTTTAGATGTAAAACAACAATTTGGAATCAAAAATTTTTTTTTGGAAAATACCCCATTACTCGGAACACTTCCACCAACTCGCACGATGGTAAATAGAGACGTACAACTTATTTCATAATTTATTAAGCATATCGTTGAATAACTATTTTCTGTGTTATTTAATCACGACAGTGACAAACTTTGTGTGAATCGCACCACCCTCCTCTGTGTCCAATCAGGATGCAGTGAGCAGCGCAGAGAGCGTCACTTCCAAAGATGTCACAGCTGATACCAAGACGAGCATCTGAAACAACAAAAATTCAGAAAAGTTAAAATTACAACATATTTGGAATACTAGCGTTCACCAAATTGCCAATACTTTGAGTTAATATGGGTCTAATTTGTATGGTCGATTTCTAGTAAAATATCTCTCAAACTAAAGAACAGTTATACGGTTTGTAAGATACTAATTCATTATTGAATCTGGAAAATGCCATTAATCCCTTGGTTTAACTACATAAACATGTGTCTTCATTTGCATCGGGACACTAAATAAGCGGTAATGGTCATAAAATGCACAAATGAAAAAGAAGCATGGGAACAAATCTGATACAATATATTGATTGTGACCAACTAAATGTGAATTTGCTTCAAAATAACAGCGTAGCACTGTTGCTGTACAAAATTCTGCTTGATATATTATTTTTTTGAGGATTCCTTTGAAGACATAAATAAAATTACAGAATGCTTACTATTTTGCAAATATCGAGTGGATGTTCAATTTACTTAACTATGATATGTTGCTTAAATGAGCATTGTTAACAGGGAGCCTTCTGGCGCCATCTACTGGGCAGTGGAACAACTACTTTTAAGAATAAGCATACTGTAATTTTATTTTATATATGCCTTCGAAGAATTTATCAAGTAGAATCTTGTACAGCAACTCTGAGACCCTGTTATTTTCAGGTTTGATCCATCCATCCGAGTAGGCCACAAATCCTTCGTTTTGATTCATGTAATTTGCGGCTATACGCAAATCCTTCTATTTGATGGAATTTGCGTCAACTTTTGTGTCCGGACACAAATGAAAGATGGATCAGAGAGAATCAGGAGCCCATCATTCACAAATCGTATAATTTTTCTCTAGTTTGAGAGACATTTCTCAAGAAATCGACCAAATTCATTAGATCCATTGCTTCAATGACGCCTAATAATTGGTCCAATGTATGCCAAAGGCATAAATTTTGATTTCCGCATGTCAGCAGTTACATATAACATAAACATCAAAAATCATGCTTTCTTTGACAAGAGGCGTCAAAGGTGATCAAAAAGACTTTTGTTGTTAACAATTATTGGCCTTTCGATATTCCACATTTATTTATGTCATAGTTCTATCAGCGTATTTAGCATCAAAAATTATCCTACTTCACATGAGACAAAGCCTTATTATATTTTTTAGTCTCCCGTGAAAAGACATGTGTTTGAATACAATCTACAATCTAAACGGAAATTGTTAAAATAATGGGATAAATAAATACAATCAACGACAATACTTTCAGTTTCTGAGTTAACCCGTAAATAGACAAAAATTATTAGTACTATGTACTAAATAAAGCAGGTCCCAGAGAAATGGATGCTCTAGATGATGTTTTTTTCTTTTTCCGATATATGGTAATGCTTGGTTGTTTAACCACACAAGTTACAAGGAATGGTGCCAAGTTCATAAAGGACTATGTTCAGTACAAGTTAGACCCTCTGTGAACAAAAGTGTATAACAAACGTGTATAAGAGTGAAAATTAAATGTGTCAAGTGAGTCAAACAGATTCATATAATTAGTCTATAGACATTACTTCCCTCCCTCACCGGTGATACCGTCCATCCGGCAACGGCAGTAATTGAAGGCGACACATAGAGATCGGCACGTTTGCCGGTAAACCCACCGAGTAGAAGCAGACACTAATATCGAAAACGTTTCTCTCTTTTCGCTCTTTTGAGAGCAAATGTTCGGGGGTCTTTAATTACCGGAGTTCGGAAGGTATAAATAAATACTGCTTCTTTTCCTACAAAACTACAAAGCTCTTTCTCTTGTGACCTTATAGTGACCTTATTCGTAAATTTCATCAAAATCTGAGCGGTACTTCCCAAGTTATAGGCGGGTCAATGATTAGCGGACAGACATAAATAGACGAAAATCATATCTCATTTTTGAAAATTTTTCGCAATTACAATACTTCCTCGCTATTAGTCGCGGGATGTAAATTGTAAAAACTGTACATTTATTATTCATCAAGGGTTTTTCATTACCATTATATATCTAGGGGGAGAAATGTAACTTCTCTTTATGGGAATTCGGTGAACAATGGAATTTTATCAGGCTAGTCGGAAAAAATAGTACATTACATGCCTAGTTTGGAAAGTGGGCCTTTACTGAACGAGCGCTTGTATAAACTGAGGTACCTATTAATAGATTTCTTCCCACTTCTAATACTATGTACCACAAAATATTCGATTTTACATCACTGTCACGACGTTTCTAACTCATTTATAAACACTCTAAGATATCTAGTTATATGATTTCAAACCGGCAAACTGGAATTAATTAATGCAACGTAAGATCCATTTGGTTTGGGTTGGTACATCCTACGACCTCACCCCTACAAAATTTTTTCTGAAAATCATCTGGAGCCTCTGAAACATCAAAAAAAACTAAGTTTGACCGGTTTTTATTTTTATTGTGTTTACCCAAAACTACTAAACCGAATTTCAAAAATTGCAAACGTTTTGTGTCCTTGGCTATAGTAGTAAGACTGTGTAAAAATTTCATTGAAATCTGAGCGAACTTCTCAAGTAATAGTCGGTGATAAGACTAGCAGACAGACGACAGCGACAGACAGACAGACCGACGGAAATGAATGACATGGTTTTTCGGGATGTTATGTGACATAACATCCAAAAACCTTAATACTTCCCTGCTAATAGACATGGGTAGTAAAAATTACTTATTTCTCAATCATTCGAAAATATTTCAGAATGTAAAGTTCAGTTGTCAAATTGACGCAATGAAATTGATAGGACACAGGATCCAATTCCAAATAACATTTATCATTCATTAGTTATTTACCTAATTATTTATGTTAACCAAGGGTGAGAAATGCTACCCCTCAATAACGCATTGCGTTAAAAGATGATAATATCTCGGGTTAGTAATGGAAACACAATTAAGTCCCATTGAAGCCTATTTGTTGTTTCACAAGAGGATTTCTCCAACCGGAGGAAAGCCAGATTCTTATGGCAAGTACCTGTTCCACTTATAGTTAAATTGTGAATCCGCTTACCATTTTTCTCAGAAGAGCTCGAAGAAGAATCCGACTCGGAACTTTCGGTAGGTGCAGCAAAAGCAGTCGCAAGTACTACAAACAGCAGCAAAGCGAAAGTCGCAAAGTATTTCATGTTTGTTTGTTTTTGAATCGTATTGAGTGGATTACCTAAAACTGATTTCTGAGGTAGGCAGTACCGGTGCACCTATTTATTTAATGTAGGATTTTGATCAAGTACCTGATAATTTACAAAAAAATGCCCGAAAATGGATCTGCGGGAATTACTGGAACAGTATCTAAACAATCGAGACTGGATTAATATCAGCGATTATCTTTGCAGTTATCGAATTGATTTATGTTGAGCCACTCCAAAATTCCAAGGCAAATCACTTCAAACAAAACTACGTATAGGACCATTAAATTTCGACTCGCTTCAGGGATTGACGGTGCTACCCAGCATGTCTAGATGCAGAAAATCAGTACTGTTTTGAAATTCCAATAAGTAAACATTGAGAACAAAAGAAAACAAACGCACGAAATGAAAATATACGCACAAGTATAACTCCAAGCAATAAGACATATATGTATATCAGCATTTCTGACGGCTATAATTACGAATTGCAGACAGGAAACTTTTCGCCAATACTTTCTACCTATTTGTATTTTTAATACTTAGAGCGAGTAGCAGAGGTCGTCAATGCCTCATCAGTCCAGAACTACAAAATACGTTACGGCAGATGGTGCAGTGATCTACGATCCACTTTGTTATTGGACATTTCATTGTTTATGGAATTGTTTATCTATATTATGTAGGTAAACTGTTTTCTGTTTTCTTTGTATATGAGTTCACAGTACGTTGTATTCTACTTTACTTAATTTACAGTTACTATAGACGACAATGGAATTTTTGACAGCTACATGCAATGGCGAATTGATCCCTAAGCTGATATATTATTTCCTCAATCTGTAAAAAGCAGATAATCGCATACGAATGGGTCGCCAGTAGGTTATTTTGAGATATAAGCTGAAATTGTTATTATCACATAACGTCCAATTAGCAAATACGTTTTATCATTGGCGCCTGTCTGTGCTATTTTGTTTTATAATTGCTTTATTACTATTTATTGCTCTTACAATGCAACTTTGTTTTAATATAAGCAGTAAGACAATTAAGCTTTTAATAAGTACATTGCTTTATAAGGTAGTCGTAAGAATGTTCTGAGAGCAAAAATACGAAACAGTTTTAGGACAAACCTTATTACTGTTTTACAAACGTTTACGCCTCAATTTTATACGACATTTAAGCTTACATTATTTGTTTTATAATAGATTTATATTGGTGTTATCCGATAAGAGTTTATTTGTCTGCGAACATCAAGTCCTGGGGGATATTTGGGAATATCTGAGAAAACATGTAACGGAACCAATGCAACTAAAACGTTGTGATGTTGGTTGATTATCCTTCTTTCTATACAGAATAGAGACCACTGAGAAAAAATATGTTTCCCAAGCAATAAGATTCCCCCTTATTTTATGCGTGGCAAATAAAACGCCACAACAACTGACTTCACTGTTATGATGGAAGCAATACTTCCATGTAGCATAAAATTACACATCATTTCCCAGAACGTGTTCCTTGCGAAGCACCTTACGTGATATGAACGCAAACTCTTGTACTTTATGACCGAGAACATGGCAACATTCATGTACTTCATTATACTATCTTGTTACTCTGGAGTTGCACTTTGCTACTTACAGTTTGAATAGTTTGCTAAAACTAATATTCGTATAATCATTGTACCGTTCAAGTTTACAGAAAATATTATCCTTTCGAACAAACATGGGAGTTTTGAGAGTTTCGCTATATGCATAATCTGTACATAAAGCTCTCTGGTGGCTAGAAAGTTGCAACTGCCAGCGCGACCCATCCTGAAAGTTTGGACGTTCGTTTTTTGCCAAAAAAAGCTAACAGTTTTCGATGCGCGT